TTGAGGATTAGAGTTGTAGACCTCAGACATGACCCTTTATTCCCACTGTTTTGCAGGTATGAATATTTTTCACTAGAAAGAGCTGGTCATCATACATGCTTTAAATCTGTTTTAAGATCATTTTATTGGCCATATACAATTTCTTTTATTAGGAATTTGTCTTTTCACATACCCCAAATTGCTCTCCATGAGACACACAGACAGGGAGAGAAGCTTAGGGTCAGAGCACGGGTCAGCCATTTATACGGCACCCCTGGAGCAGTTGGGGTGAAGGGCTTTGCTCAGAGGCCCAACGGAGTAGGATTCCTCTGCTGGCCGCGGGATACGAACCAGCAACCTTCCAGCCACAGGGGCAGATCCTTTGTCACAGAGCCACGGCACCGCCCCTACACAATATATTTGGAACGTTTGCAATTTTTTACTGTCTTGAAACAATAAAGCCCTATGCAAAATTATCAGTTTTCCAGTTCTAACATTTCCCCAAAAATAATAATCGAAACTGAATGGCTACTGTAGATTAAACATAAGTCAAGTCAGAAGATGGTTGACTAAAATTACTGAAATGGCCAACAAAAGATCTTGAATCTGACTGAGGCCATACAAGATTAAGCCACACATAAAAAATAAGAGGAATTCCAGAATTTTAGACTTGTGAAATGTTTTACAAGACATTCAGTATAAAGTTCCTGAAACAGTACTCCATTCGTGCACTGGAAACACAATTAAATTGTTGAAGAAGGGGCAAAGGGCAAAGGCTGGAAAAAAGTACCGAGTAATTTTTCTGAATTATATATTTACATGGTTTGTTAAATTTGTGCCAAAGTCGAATTTTACCATAAGAAAATAATACTACAATACAACAGTAATATGTTAAACAATGAAAATTGTGATTTCACTGAAATATCTCAGATCTTTGCAAATTCATTCTTTCAATGACTAAAAGCGCACTGAAGCTTGAGCATTAGTTTGTAACAGACAAAAACAATCACCTCTGACTGAAACATATTCATCAATACGTTATGTAAGAAACATTGCTCTTTTATTTACAGTACCTGTACACTGGTGAAAAAAACTAGGGAAACATTTGCCTTTTCTTCATGTGCAGTTTACAAGACGCAATATGTCTCTGTTTACAAGACACAATATGTGTCTGGCAAGACTTTGGAATCTCAAAGTTTGTGTTCTCTCAAAAGATAATACAGAGCTCTCTACTGGATTGAGGGGCCTATTTGTATAAACAGCTCTGTTTTAAATTGGGCTGCACATCCAAACATATCTTCTTCCCCTGTTGTTTTCTGGGATGGGAATATCCATTCAACTCTTTGTGTTTCCTTGCAGCTTCTGCCTGACAGCAACACACGGTGCTGCATATCTGCTTAGCCCTAATAGCTAGAAAAAAAGGAAGAACATTCAGAAAGTGTGTGGTTGCTGTTACAGCAGAGAAATGAACTTGTTGAATTATGCACACAGCTATTCGTGCTTCACAAAATTGAAGGAAAGGATGCTTTTATTGAAAAACATCAGTCAGTTGTTGCCTCCACTGAAATATTACCGTATATCATATTTACTTATTCTTATTTGTTTTCATTTTAAACCATTGCACCTGTATTATAGCTTCAAAAGGAAATGTTCAAAGGGAAATCTAACAATTGTCATAAAACAAATTATGTACCAGCAGAAGAACATTAAAGTCCCATTTAGTTTATTCCTTTGGATGACTGTTTCTGGTAAATGTAGTATAATTTGTTCTTCTATACAGGTTCCATTATATAATTTACATATAATTATAGACTTCTGATAAATTTATAGAAGTGCACTAGTTTTCCTGCAAGGAATGGCACGCTTCAACACCTGTCCTATTTTTAAGCCTCTGCAAAATAAAGCTAATGGTTTGTCTTTACAGACAAAGTCAAAAAGTCACAGTAAAAAGTCACAGTAAAGTCTGTGCCAGGGCTGTAGGTAGTACTTCTCCTCACCATTGAGCCGATTGTGGTTCCCTATGTGCTCCTTCTTTTTTTCTACATTCTATGGGTGACGAGGGCCTTGTATTGATATGTCCCAAATCTCTGAAACCATTTCACAAGAAATAAGGAACTCAGCCATATTGGGTCTTTTAAAAGCTAGTCTGAAAACTTTCCTTTTAAAAATCCATTTTGCATTTGTTTCATTTGTACACAGTCTGTGTTTCGTGTATTATACATTGCTTTGAGATGATTTCTTATAAAGAAACACATATATTTAAACAGGTCACAAAGGTGGCATGGTGAATCATTGCTGCCTCTCAGCACTGGGGCCCTGGGTTTAATTCTGGACCTAAGTTGCTATCTGCATGGAATTTGTATGTTCTCCTTATGTTCATGAGGGTTTCCTCTAAGTGCACTGGTTTCATCCCACAGTCCAAAGACTGGTAAGTTAATTGGCTTCTGGGGACGTTGGCCCTAGTGTGAGTGCGTGTTTGTGTCCGTCTGCCCTGTGATGGACTGGCATCCTGTCCAGGATGTACCCTGCCTTGCTCCCATTGCTTAATGGGATAGACACCAGCTCCCCTGCAACCCTAACTTGGATGAAGTGGTTAGGAAATGGAGGAATTGATGGAAATGGGCCACATGATGGCACAACGGTTAGTATTGCTAACTCCCAATGTGGTGGCCCTGGGTTCAATTACAGATATGGATACAATCTGCATAGAGTTTGTATGTGCTCCTATGATTGCATGTGTTTCCTCCAGCTGCTCTTTTTTCCTCCCACAGTCCAATGACATCCTGGTAGGTTGATTGTCTGTTGTTTGTGTGTTCCCAGCAATGGCCTTGTGTCCTGTTCAGTGTACACCCCACCTTGAGCCTGTAGCTTGCCAAGATGGGCTCAGGCTCCCCTATGACCCTGAATTAGATGGTGTGGTTAGACAAAAGATGAATGTAAGCATAAAATAAATTGGGTTGACACCTGAAAAAGGCTCCACAGCTGAAACATTGTGTTTCTTTTCTTCTCTTTTCAGCATGAAATAAACCTTGATTTGTTCCTTTGCAGCCTACGCATGCTGACGTGCAGTAGCTACCTACTTGAACTATATAGAAAACATTGTGTTAAAAGGTCATGCAATCATCCCTCTACAACACGTTAAATCAAATTAAAAAAATAAAAAGACAATGGTTCTATTTACAGAAGCAATGGAAATACCTTGCAAACAACATGAAACAACAGGAAATGAGACACTAAACACGTGGGGTCAATTGCAATGAACTGAAAGCATGATCCCAGGGTTAGAATGCATCTTTGTTCTAAATCTGCAAGTTCATTGCAACTGACCCATACTGTGAATACAATGTAGAGGTATGGTATACATTGTTGGTGTGTATTCCACGTTTATAGTGAATAAATGCAATTACTGGGTAATACTAACTGTTTGAGAAGTAATAACATCAGTGTAATGCAGAGGAAGAGATACTGAATGGTGTCTTGACAGCTGAAAGATGGCAGGTACTGTCTAAACAGATGAGTCTTGAGCAGGTGTTGATAGGTGGTCAGGGACTTCTGGTTTCTGTGGGAAGTTCAACACCAAGGGCTGAGGGTGGAGAGTAAATGGATTCTGGCAGGTAGGAAGATTTCATTCATTCATGAAATTCACCCTATGTGGCTTTAAAAAGGTTGCATTGCACAAACACTGAATCAATGAAAATGAAAAACATGCCCGAAATCATGTTTAATGGTGCACAGGAAATGAAAAAGCACTCAAATGGCAGATGTCATGTCAATCTATATGGCTTTGATTTCTTTCTCCCAAGCAGTCAACAAGGAAACCAGTGAAAGAGTTATGTTCCAAATGCTGTGAGACAGGTTATCCTCAGCCCCCTCCAAATTAAAAGCATGCAGGATACAATAGATTTTAATAGCATTCATTAGGAGTTTGGTTTTGCTGAACATTTTCCTTAATAACCTTATTTGGTTAATTTAACTATGGCAAAATGTTATTTTATGTGTATACACTATGTACTGTACTGTATATCCTTGTTTATCTAATCTTTGCTGAACATGTCAAAGCATAATCAGAAATTGCCCATCTCAGGTTTCTTGTACAACTAAGGTTTGCCATCGTGAAGACTTTATGCTTCGCTGATGTGTGTGGTAGGTTATGAAACACACAAAGAAGTACAAAAGAACTTCAGAAAAGTTCCAAGTTAGGATTGTTTGAAACATGCTACTAAGTCTTTACTAACCCAGGATGTCATGCATTGACTTCTGGTGGAAATGTTTTCCATTTTCTTAAAATATAAGGATATTTAGGAATTAAATTAAAAGAAATTTGGCTTATGGTAGCAAACTACCACTCTGTTGAAAATATTTGCTGTAAGTCTGGTTCGTGATCAGTTCCTCAGCTGTTCCAATAGATGAGCCGATCCTTTTTGTTCTTCATACGGATTTGTTTTCATTTTAAAAAGTACGAGTTCACAGAGAGGACTGTAAATGATATTTTACTGTCATAATAGAGAATGCTTCATTTTTTTTCTCTAAAATGCTGGAGTTGTCTTCAAAGAAATCACATCACTGAATCCCAAGAGAGGGGAGAGCCCGAGGCCACCAGCAGTAATAGTCCTTAATGAGATCTGAATACTGGTGCCATGATTAGAAAACTGGAACGTATTTTTTAAAAATAGAAAAGAACTAAAAATATTTAACTCACCATGAGGGAACTTTTTTGTATGAACAGCAATGTAGACAGCATGACCGAATATGTATATTTTTTTCTTTAATAATTGACACAAATCTGAATGAATTACGTCTGCTTCTGTAAATGTTCCGATATCTCTTGGGTTATGAGTATTTCCGAGCGGAATATGTGTTCTTGCTCTGGTGGAACTTGGCCTTTTTTCCTTGCCCACATTGCACTTTGGGAGGCGGGGTCGGAGGCGGTGGCAGCAAAGGTAAATCTCCGCCTTAGAGGCGTGTTAAACGCAAATAAGTGCATTGCATCCACCTGCCAGCACAGTTTTCCTGCAGTCAGGAGCTCGTAGAGCGACTCGAATGCAGCCGAAGTGTTCAGGGTACTTAAAAGAACGAGGGATAATACTTCAAGTCTTCTTTTCTACGGAATTGCAGTCCTGTGAACACCTTCCAACCTGGACACTCAACAGCCTAGCATATGAACAAGTTGGATTTTATACGACAAACCACCGACAGAAACAAGAACAGACACAGCAAAAAAAAAAGGAGCTCAGGTGTTTCTTAAGGATTTACGCGTATTCTCAGTTCCTGGTTGGGAAAACACATTATTGTGGATGCTGCCGTTTGCTTTATACATGACTTTAGATTGGAAATAAAGCACTTTGTGACTGGCAATAGGAATCAGGTAACATGATCATTTTGCACTTATGTATTTAGTTGAACACAGAAGTTTTTGATCTATGGCTATTTTTTTCCGTTGGTTATTGCTTTGCAAAAGCAGTAATTGTACATTTAAGTAATAAAACACGGAATGTTATACCATGTGCTTTAGGTTGTGTCAGACTTTGGTAAATATTGTCAGATTTCGACAACTGTGAAATTTCCATATGTACTAGTTTCCTCGAAGAAAGCTGATATATGTTTGTATATGAAGGTTGATATATGTTTAAAAACGCAGCGGAAGGTGACTATATTACAGAAATATGATTTAAAAATAAAATTAATGCACATAAACGCTATGACGCAAAACATGTCAGTAAAAGTAATTCATGTTAAAGATTTGTAGCTGTCTAACTGTTGGTTATAGTGATTGTTTCTTAGAAGTGTACTTTGAAGCGGAGAGCAGTTCTGAGAATATTTTTAATTTGGAATTAATGGCAACAGTTAAAAGATAATACAGTGCGAAGCTATTTGCTGTTTAAGCACAATATATCTATTTTGAGTTATGTTGTGTGTAGGCCTTTATCATGCACATACTGTATGTCTACATGGTTGAAATCGAGAGCTTTTTTGTTTTAAGCTGTAACCCTTCGTATAGTTGTATGTCTCTATGATCGAAAATTTAGAACACCAACTCTGGCTTTCACTGGGGAAGGTTAACATATTTAACACAAAGGCTCAACTGGGACTGTTAAAGCAGTTTTAGTTTTCACTAGCCAACATCTTAGTAGAATGATTACCCATAAATGTGGTTTCTCATACCTCTTTAAAAAAATCAGTGCGCGCCAGCTCGTGATTCAGCCTGAAATAGGTGTGCGACAAGAAGGGTCGTCTGTTAATGGCATTTAATTCTGATTCTTTACTTTTAAGCATTATACATTTTGTTCATTTTTGTTGCACAAAAAAAGACATTTTATTTCTTGGTTGACAGATAATTTGGTCCTGCTCTCTTTACTATATTGGCGCTGCGATATTTCCGAACATTAGAATTAACCTTAGGTTTTCTGTGCTTTGGAATCGGATGCACACCCAGGCTGCTAACCCAGCGGAGTCTAATAGAAGATATCTGTTCATTTATATTATTTAGATTTTAGCCTTAATGTGTAAAATTTCTTTAAATAAGTGGCACAATTCTGCCAGCTTTGTTTTATTTATTTTTATTTCGTCGTCAATTTATTTACACAAAATGAAAACAATTTTAAACGCGCTTTTGTTCCCCATTCGGTGGATGCGTCGAATCGGGGAAACCGCTAAGATACAGTAGAGCCCTGAATCTTGAATAGCTCCAGTAGGCTGCTGGTATAGAAATGTGCATTTTATCCCCCCCAAGTTATCTGTTAAGATAAAAGGAGGAGAATGTGGGCACAAGGTTTAGAGTTTTTAGCTTTAAAGGCGCAGATCCTTTACCATGTGAATTGTAATACTAGTTCGGGAGTTCACGCTCCCTCCAAATGAGAGTTCACGCTCCCTTCGGCTTTACCTGGAGCCTTCTGCGAGGAACATGATCTTCTGCCTAATGTTCGTGCTTGACCCGATAGCCCGCTGACCCGCGTTTACAAGCGGAACAAGACCGTGCCAGGGAAGTTTTAATGGCTAAAAGCAGGTCTTAAAGTAGACTATATTTCCGTGAGTACCATAAATCATAGACGATACAATATAAAATGCCCGTGCCAAGCCCGAATCTCAACAGACAACCTTACTACCACAAGCGAAATTAGGCTTCAGGAGCTTTTTTGAAAGTCAAGTTTCTGTGCATGATTACTTTCAAGAATTTCAAATCGCTCAGCACCGGGCATTCTCCTACATGAGTAATGCAATGAACATCTTTTAATCAAGTTTGTTTGCAAAATAAAATCCATATTGGTTCCTGACAGTCTGGTTTTGCATAACTATTGATTAATCTAAGACAAAAATGTTGTCAGTAGAGATCACGTTTTACGTCCGTAAAGCATTCTTACTGTTAAAGTTTCGCAGTGTATGTGATTTTTAAAAGACTAATAATGGAATGTTATCGCAATCTGCCCATAATTTGCTAAGCTGATTTTAATTAACTAGTTCCCGTCTGGAAGTGGTGGCTGACCTCAAATGAATGGTTGGTTAGCCTGTTACACTTCGATTACCTCAAAAAGATAATCTTTCTCCATATGTTTAAGAAACAAAATATATCTGATATTTGAGAACACACAGAACGCCAATTGAAAATGAATGATTTTAAGTTAAACAGATACATTCGCCCGCAAAGAAATAACGGAGTGGTCAACTACATTTTTCCGTTTATTGTGCACAGCTGAATAAATTGTAATCTGTTTCGCTCTATCTCAAAAAGTTACCTTGTATATTCCTTGAAAAACCCTTCAAAGAATTAGGCACCGGAGCACACACAATAAAAAGATGCGTTTAAACACAATGAAAATGGGTTTTATAACCAATTGCAAACAAATAAAATGCCATGTTTAGAGATTATTTTACATAAAATGCAGACGGTTATGGCTACAAAAATGTATTTGGGAAAGGAAACTTTCAATATTTATTCGGAATTAATCATATTAAGTTATGTTTATTTCGTTACCAGTGTCAAGTTCTTTCAATTGTAAATGTGAGTTATGTTTTTAAGGTTGTTTTTCAACAGCTGACTCCGTTTAATCCCCACTTGTAGCGGAAACCACAAAGACTTTACAGTGTGTCATTTGCATGTAAAACAAATAGCCGGCCAGTAGAAAATGTGTTTATGTTGTCGCATCATAGACATCGCTTATTAATCAATTGGAGTTGATGTATCAACGCCTTTCCTAATTATGAAAATTAAATCATTTACATGTTAAAATTAAAAAAATATATATAATGAAAAGGCCAAATAAAGGCTTACAGAAATACAGTATTATGTAGTTTTACTGTGTATGTCTGTCAGTGTTCCCGGGAGCGCGTATTTATCATTTGGCTTAGAGGACTATTCATTGTTTTAAAACTTTCCCTTTATGTTCGGTGTTTAATTAGGCGAACCTGTCAGTTTTCTTCCCTTGAACAGTGCTAGCCTACTGCCTAGTTTGTAGTAGCTGTATCCAGAATCAGAATTTTCAGAAAAAGAAAAATCTTGCTTTAGTATTCAGTTTACTGTAGGGAATGTTATTGTACTAGCTGAAAAAAATATCTTAAGAGATTTGGGAGCAAATTTAAGGTGGCATGTGTGGGGTTTTTTTTTGCCTATGGTTTATTCTACAGAAGATACTGTCATCAAGTTGCTTCTTGAAAGATCCCGGTGTCAAAACGTCTCCTCCCCTTTCCTAGCGCAAATAAATTCTCTTTTTCTGTTTGCGTAATCCGATCCCAGTTACAACGTTGAGCCTTACTGTCACTGTTTAGATCAAAATAATCAGTTTCATATGACTAAGATAAGGATTGTGAATGCTTGAGTCATATTGACATAGAACATTGTTAAAAAAATGAACTTGGGTTATGACATACCTTCCACGATCTAGGAATTCTTGTACCTTTTCACTCCCTTTAAAACCCCTTTAATGCTCCATTATTACTTGTGGAGACAAAATTACGAAGACTAAGCACTGTATTCTGAATCTAGTCATACCTGTCTTTTATCTACAGTGGTTTTAACTATTTCGTTTGATTTTAATTCTTTTTGCACTGCATGCAAACATTTTTCTGGCAATCTTTGTTGCTTCCCAGGACCAGAAAGACAAAAATAGTGATGTGTCTACAAAAATACCCCAGGACATTTTATTAGCTGCCTCTGTAGGTGCATTAACCATTTTATATTGGCTAATAATTAGACTGACTTGACCAAAATCCTTTCTAAGAGAACATAGAGATGGAAGTATGGTAATGTTGTGTGCTTTTTAGCATTGTGTATAGTGTAAACAAGCATTTCAAAAGCCCTGCAGAGTCCTAGGATGAATGTTGTAGCATGTTCCTTACTAGGGATTAGCAGAATGCAGGGCATGGTGCATGTTTTCCTGTGAGATCTTTGCAGGAGGTGACCACAACCAGTTGCTGAAACCCTGCTGAGGTTTAAATGTCAAGCAGTGAGGGGGCTGGCTGCCACTTGATTGAGTGAGCAGGGGGGGTTGCCTGGCATCTCCAAGGATAAGCCCATGTGAGAAGGCTACACCCCCCTCCCACCCCCCACCCCCCCTTCAAAAGCTGAATCAGGGTTTTTAGTGTTCACAAATCTTTCCAGAGCAGAGGCGTTCTGGTCTTTGTTAGAGGTATCCTTCTTGCAGTTATAAAGGTAGAGGCCACAAAAGCATGCATGAGCAGAGATCTTGAACAAATCCCCGTTGAAGAACTGGTGCTAGAAGAGGCGTAGGAAGAAAAGGGAGGCACAGAGAAGCAGAAAGAGAGTGATGAGGCCAAGAAAAGCGTCCTGAGCAACTTCTGTTCTCTGCCACATTTCAGGAGCTCACCATCCATACAAACTTACTCTTCATTATGAATTTTACGACCAAGCACATACCTTCTTTGAACTCAGCCTTTACTTGAAAGGAAAATGGCATGACACTGTAATCATTAGAGGCAGTTGTTTGCTGTACATTTTCTTCTTTGAAGATCCTTTGTTGGTTCCTGCTGTTTTGTCGGTATGTGCCTGGCCCAATAAAGAAGAATGTAGATTTTCCCTTTGTCCCAAAGAATGTGCTGTGTTATGGAATTCAGTTGATGAAATTCAAACAAAAGGAAATGGCAAAGTAGTGCTTGCCACGAATTGGGAATTGTTTACTAACCCAAATTGGTTGATGCTGATGTTTCTCTTCCATCAAAAGTCAGGATTCCAATGGTTTATTTGTAAATCTCATCAACACTCAAAAGCTTGTGTGTGAAATGAGGAATGGCTATAATTTGTGGATTGTTGGTGATATAAAACATGGACCACTCTTTCCAGAAGAGTGGAATGGATCAGAGCTGTAAGGTCATTCTAATGTTTCTGTACTTTCCATCCTTACATTGAACCATATGGCTTGCATCAGCATATAAACAGCATGGGATCAGATTTTACATTTGTAATATGTGTTTGTAATGTCCTATATGCAATTAACGTTATTGCAGAAAATTTCTGCTGGCTGTGTGCAATCACTCAGCATACTTTAAAGTACTGTTCTTTAAACTTCAGTTCAAATCGCAGCACAGTGTTGTCAAATGGGCTCCATATGTGTTACTTTGCGGAACACGCAGCAGTTTTGACTACAGCATACAAAGATTCGTCTTGTGAGGATAGATACCAAATGTTGCTTTGTTTCTCTAGATCTTAAATGGCGATTTTATACACTGTTAATCAGACTTTAAGCAACCTCTTGTGGATAATGTATATGCCATAGCTGAGCATAAAACAATTTGCAATTTGTAAGCATTTATGCCATTATGCCTGTTGCTATGGGGGTTCCTAAAACATTAAGGATCATCTGTAGGTATTGTTCTTAATATATTCTAAAATAAACCTTTAAATCTCATTTGTCATGATTACGTGAGCAAAGCAAAGGTTAAACTCTAGGCAGTTAGAACCCCAAATTCAGAATTGAACCCAGTGCCCTACCACTGCGAGGCAGCAATGCTAACCACAGTATCACCATACCACACCTAGGAGTTTAACATTATGGAAAATAGGGAATAATACCATGTCTTCTGGGATTTCTTCTAGCCTCCCTGCACATCTTTCATGCTGCATAAAGGAGAAATAAAAAGTTGCTTCCCATTCCACATAAATTTAGAAATTCTAGTATACAATGTCCCAGTACCCTAATGGGGGAAGAAGACAAATCATTGAACTAAAAAAACTTCAAGCAGCGAAGCACAGTCACTTTTATTACTGTGGCATGACTTTGAAGAGTATTGGGAAATGAGTCCATCTGTTCAATTCAAATCCTTTCAAGTCTACCTGTTATAAGTGTATACTTATTCTTAGTTGTTTACTGTGATCACATGTAAACAAGATTAAATCTAAATACCAAGGTATCTGAAGTGTTTGACTGGCAGCACAATCAGAAGTAGGCTGGTGTTTTGCTTTTCAAAATTCAGCATTAGTAGTGCAGGTACTCTGTGATCCAATTGATCATATGCCCTTTTAGAGCACTGGAGTCATCAAAAGTAGCTAGCAAATTAAACAGGGATTTCTAGACAATGTCTACATCAAGACACAAAATCAAAATATAGGAATTGTCTATGTTGAGTATTGTTAACAGAAATAGGTGTGTAGATGGTAGACTGACAATTTATTTTAGTGTTTCAAAACACAGGAAAGACAACAGAGGAGAAAGTGGGTATTCCTGACAAGTATGCATAAGAAAAATTAAAAAATGAGAGGATGTCTTTCAGTCTAGACTGTTTGATATTTAGTAACTAATTGGTTTGAGCTCACCCAGCCATTTCTTGTAAGAAGCCATGGAACTGGCTTTCACTTGACAACGTGGTCAATGATTACATCATTTTAGACTATATATCACTGGTTTTAAAGAAATATAAACCAAGACAGATTTATTAGATAACTATTGTTGCAGTGGAAATCTACAGACCTTTAGCATGTAAACTAATTGTCTTCTCAAGCTCTGTCCTCAGGACATATTTAACTGTCAATATGGCTTAGCTGAATGATAGAAAGATAACAGTTTTCCTAGGAATATAAATGTTTCTGCATAGGTAAATTATTGGTTAAGTTATTATTTTTTCTAATAGCTCTTAAACATTCATCTTCAAGATCTGGCACTGTCATTGGCCCAGAAGGTAATGCTGGTGGTATTGGAGAGAAATGCATTTATAATATGTGCTAGAGAATTAATGAAAGCCTGCTTTCCTTCCTCAGGGACCTGGGAGATTTTCACTGTGACTGGAAACAGACAGACCATGGTAGTGCACAGCCTCCTCTGGCTGGTGAAGAGCCTCCTGGTTCTCTCCGTCTGGGCACTGAGATCCAGCAGCCAGTCACTCTCAGCCCCGAGAGTATACCTCTCCTTCAAAGGTAAGGGATATTCAGTGTCCCAAATCCTGTTTTCTTCTCTTTCTGCTTGCGTAATACAACACTAACTAATTGTTCATGCCAGTCCCCTGTAAACTTTGAGATCTATTTCAGGCTTTCTTGAAGTAGTTTTACCTTTTCTGTAATTCTGTTATTCTATTCTGTGTTCTACTTTGCATAATGTAGGAGCTCTTTGGGAATTATTTCCCATTTTACATTTGTGGACACACGGGTCCGAAAATACTTCTCAAAGCTTAGTGAAAGGAGGGGAAGGACAGAGGGAAAGACGATTACTGTACTTCTGTGCCAATGGTAGAAAGGAATGAGTGTGCCACTAGTTTGTTTCCCCGTGTTAACATCCTGGCACTACATTTTTAACAAATCATTTTCAAAGCTATTTTTGGCTTGGGAGTCTAATTCTGTTGTTGAAAGTAATCTTAACAGAATTTATAGTAAACCACATCAGATTAAGTAAAAGTTAAATAGTCAGAACTTAGTATATTAAAATGGGGAAAAAAACGTTTCTATTGGCAAATTGACAGTTTTTAAGTATTTTGTTAAGTATAATTTTATTCTTTCTGAGGAGTAATGAAGGGAACTGCTCTTTGCTTAGCATTATCATGGGTTATAACTAAAACTAAAGATGTTTTGAAATTAATGTCAAAATTCATTTTATGGAAGTAAGTAGTATACAGTAGATCTTAAATGAACCCCATGAATGGAATGGTGTCAAGTTTTCACTCAAAGTTATTATCCATTCTTATAATTATATTATGTATAGCAGCCTAGCAGTTGTGCAGGATTACAAGGTTAGCTGGTAGAGAGAGTTGCACATTGCCTAAATCAGAAGAAGAAAGTAGAAAGTGTTACTTTTCACTAAGTCTGAAAGATCAAACTTTTGACTAGCAGTCTAAAATGCTAGTCAAATGAGTAAAATGAGCAAGTGTTAAACAACAAGTTTTTCTCATCAGAGCAAAATGTGACATAATGTGCTGTTACACTTCACAACTGAAGGGGTTTCCCCTTCTTTCCTCCATAATCAAGTGTGATTTCACAGTTCACTGGACATGAAGGCAGAGTGCTTTGGTTTAATTTGCTCTTTCCTTGTGGCTTTAGATTATTTTTTTTTTCAGCAAATCAAAAGATTTAGAATCATACTTTAGCAGCTCTTGAGATTCTCTGCCATTTGCTGTTCACCTAATAATCCTGAACATGAATAGTCAATCATTGTTTCTTTGGAATGCAACAACCTACGCCCTTTAAGAAAAAAAAGAACATTCCTTTCTGGTTCTTTCTCGAAGACAGGAGCCTTAATCTAAATGGTTTCACGTGAAATGATTCGAAAATAATAAGAGCCTGTTCTCATGAAACTGTATTCTGGAATACAGGTTAATTTTATGAACAGAGGCTTTAAAACAAGAAGAGAGCGACCAAATAAACATTTGGCAGTCAATATACATTATAGGTGAAAGGTCCAAACCCATTTCAATACAGGAAAAGGAAAGTGGGAATGGAAACTTCGTCAATGGGCAATGGTGGCAAGTGGTTATGATTAAAGAGTTTCTCTATGGTTTTAGAAGTTTTTATTAGATGTAATCACCCATGTCCACATCTATCCTTTGCTTCCTATAATTTTAACTAAACCTCCTTGAGCAGCATGAATTAGTGTCACATTCTCAAGACCATAAATAGGAATTTCACAGCGCTGGCCATCACTGGGAGAAAAACAAAAAAACCTCGCCTTTTGAATTGCAAGGGTGCAAATGCATTACCTTTGGACATCACAGAGGAAAAAGGCAAAACAAAGTCAAAGGGAGGAGTTCTGCAACAAATCTTTTGTTCATCGATTTCATTGATTTCTGACTTAACTGCATTGTTTTTTCTTACTACAGTCGGGTTCAGCAGTCCCAAATTTGTTCTTCCAGTGCAATTCTCTCTTTTAAATTCATTTTTGAAAGGTCTGACATATGATGAGGGTTATTCATATAACCTAAGAGCTTCTGATTCATAAGTATTATGTAGTCTAATTACTGTGACAGGTAGTACTGTCAAAATACCCCTATTCTCTTTCATGCATACACTAAAAGTGACTCCTAAACAATTTATTGATGGTAAAAGGCCTTGACTTTCATGGAAGATGCCACATACTCAACAGCTGATGGCAAGTGTATAGGCTTGTCAGTAAGAAAAAAATAATGTTGTTCTATGCCTGATTGATGTTGGCAACTGACTTGATCATTTCTGTAGACACCAGCTAACTTGACTGGGATAGTTAAAGTTGCTGTCAGGAGAAAAATGGATTCATAAATTCTTTCAGACCAGTTTTATTAGTTATAAAAGTATTTTGTTGTCAAGACAAAGTCTTCAGGTCAACAGGCATAACAGTTTTACATTTTGGCCAAGCCCAGAACAGGGAAGCAGAGAGCAGAAGCTAGGAGTTTACATGTTTGCATAATTTCCCTGTATTTCTGTGCTAATTTCTATTACAGAAATCTGGGAGATTATATTCTGGAATAGGCATATTGTCAATGTTTATATATGATTTAATTTTCAGTGTTTGCATTAGCCACCACAGTATATACATCTATTATTGTTTTTGAGATGAGCTAGATTTTCCTCCTTTTATATATTTTTGATAAATCTCATAATTCTGCCTGTAATTTTAAATTGAGAATACAAGCTTTGATATCTTTCAGAATTAAGCTTTGTTTCTCAAAGTGAATTGTCTTCTTCTTTTTTTATAATCTATCCTTGTATTAGGTAATGCTGTTTCCATTTCAGTCACAGAGGTGGACCAGGTTAATATCTAGATGTGGCACTCTCATGGTGTTGAAAGACTTCTTGATATCCTGCTTCTCTATCATGAAACAATCATGATAAGAGTGGGCTACTACTTTACAATAATGCGTGGTTAAGTCCTTCATATTTTTGGTCACTTTTTTTACTTCTGTATGTCATGAACAAAATATAATATTGTTGTACCAACCTGTATATCCCTATGGTGAACAAGGATAAATAATGGAGTCTGCTTGTGTTTCACTCACATTTTTCAAATCATCTGTCAGTGGTCTCAGCTTTGATCCCTTTTCAACATTGAGCCCTTCTCAGCATTGATCAAGTCAAATGGTTTTTCTCTTTTACCGACATGTCTGATAATTTACGTCTGTGTTTTCTTAAATGTTATTAACCAGAGAATTAGATCTTCCTCTGTCCCTGTCATATTAATTTGAATTCCACAAGCTTTTTCCACAGGGCACTTTACCATCAGCTTGGCAGGCAGAGTTACACACTTTCCTCTAGAATAGTGCCTTCTATTGTTTGCTTGTCACTTTCCAAGATCTTCCTGTTCTCTTTAACTTGCCACGAGTGCTGTAACATTATTTATCCAAATGGCAACTACGTGAATGAGTTAAAAAAGGTGTCACTGTTTTAACAGGGTGGTATGAATACAACAACCTATTTTTGTTAACCACTCCCACTGTGTTGAATTTATTGGTGTGTGTGCTGGGAAATATTTGTCTTTATCCCATGATGTTTTAATATTTTCTAAAGTTGAAAGGACAGAGTTTTCCATTGTTGGCGTGCTGCCCGTACCGCTTTTGTATAGCCATGGTATCTGTTGTGGGCAATTAGTTTTAAGATCTCTCTCCTGGGTGTGCACACTGCAGTAATGCGTGAGCTTTGGATGAACTGTTAGCAAATTGTACTTGACTTAGAACAGTATTTTCCAGTCGTGTTCTCACTTGTAGAGTTTCTACTATATACTGCTTTTCATTTAGGCATAAGCAACAAACTTAAAATTAAATGATATATACTTACAGTATGTACATTTACCATGGATTTCCTGTATGTGGTGTTTCAGTAGTATCTCTAAAGTTGAAGTTCAACTCCAATCTTTTAACATAATGTGTAATAACTAGTAACGTTCTGTAATAACAGGGCAAATGTCTGAGTGAAAAGATGTCTTGTTTAAATCTGTTGCTGATCTGTTAGTCAACCCCGAGGTTATAACCTTGACCTCTGATACGAAAAGCACTTAATAACAGTAGGTACTGTTAAGTAGATCTGGCCGTCCAAAATAAGGTGCACTTCCTCATTTGAAATAAATATAAATTATGTTTATTATTCAAACCCTATTATTTCCTTTTTGTTTTGATAAAACATTCCCTGTCATTGTGTTTTCCCTGATGGAGACTTGCAACATACTTCGAACGTAGAAAAAACATTTCCATTTTATTTCAATTTTAGAGGAAGTGGTGATGTTGTGAAGAGATACTTGGGGGGGAAAAAAAGAGTTGTGTAACTTTTGTTCCCTGAAGACGGCCAAGTATTAAACATGGCTGAAATACTTTTAAAGAAGTATGTATAAGCAGCTCAGAAGTTGGATGCTCAGAATGGTTTTGTTTTGGGAAATATTGCTACCTCTTTTCTTAAGGTCATCATAAAACGTTAAGGTTATAAGTTAAATTGGATGTAGGAAACTAATTTTACACTTGTATTTTGTTTTTTTTTTCTATGCCTCTTTGGACTCAGGACTCTGGTCTCTGCAGATTTTACACTGGGATAAAAAGCACTTTGAAAGTTGTCCTGATAGTGTAGTAATGTTTTGTTTAAGTTTCTAGAATTATTTTATATATGTGTATACCTAGACATTTCTAAAATGGAATGGCAAGCCACAGCCACACCACATTTTACATATTACAGTATTCTTTGGGGCATGAAAATGGATCCTAGGACTACATAATAGAAATAATTTTTTGTATGGTGTTTAGAATTGAAATGTATATTAAAATAAGTGGAAGGGGATAGGTGCCCTTCACATTCCATCCAACACAAAACACGTTTACTGCTCAGTATTGACTGCAGTGCCTATTTAAGAAAGTTTCTGTTGCATAGCAGATTGAACTATGAGCTAATAGGCTTGAAGAACGGACTTTGTCCTGGCTTATCTCTTCTTAGACTGTGGCACTACACAGAAAAGAAAACTTCAGGAAAGTCAGGAA